CCCTGTATCATGGGTGTGGGCCGCCTCCTTTGCCTCTCCCTGCTCTCCTGCGGGTCTGGCAGGGTCCGGCTCTGGCGTCTTCACCTGGCGGTGCTCCCAGGTTCTAATGGGCACGGTTCAGTCGTGTGCAGTTCGTGCCACCATTTGCCAGGTGAGTTTTCTGCGGTCTGGCGTCTTTTGGCCGGGTGCTGGATGCTGTGTTGTTTATATACCTGTCTTTATTTAGGTATATTTTTGTACGACTGCGACCGTTCGTACACCAGTGACTGTCCCTTTTTCAACCCTTCCTGTCCCCCTCATGTGCATGTCCATCTCATGCTAGAGTCATTCAGGGGACCCGCCTTTTTTCATGTTGTGAGGTGTGGGGGTTGTAGGGATGGTTCTGTACTCACCTGGTAAGGCTCCTGGCTGTGCTTGCAGGGTTTGAGCTCTGGCTCTTGGGTCCCGCCTACCTGGTAGAACTTGCGGGATAATACCAGTGGAGTGCAGTGGTGCTAGAGGCACAATTGGGGAACACTGTATTACCTTCAGAGGTCTGTGGTTGTTACACGACCTACTTGCGAGCATAAGCCTTCTTGCTGGTTCGTCCGTGGACTTCCAGGGCACACTAGCCTGTTTTCGTATAGCAGTTCCGGCCCATCCTGGTTGTGGGGGTATGTGGGCCGGCGGGCCGCTACTGGCAGCTGCCTGGTGGGCCACCCTCTGGCCGGTCTAGCCTGGCCTTGGGCCGGGCTTAGGGTGTAAAAGAGCTCCCAGTACCCCCATCCAGCAGGTATCGAGCGGGGTTTCTCCGCCGTCGGTCGCATGGTGCAGGTTTCTGGGCCTGCTGGGTTTTGTCGTGTCTCCGTTGGCCCTGTCTGGGGTCTGCCTGCTCCGTTTCTCTGCCTTTGCAGAAGGGAGTTGCTATTTACATGTTGCATGTTGCAGTGGTGCCTGTTGCTGCTGCTGCACGTGTGCATTGGTACCGTGTTTCACGGTGGCGTGTCCTTGTTCCTGTGTCCGGTTGTGGTGTGGCACTTTGCTGCTGTTTTGTGCCTGGGAATTGCATGGTGGTTTTTCTGTCCCTGCCTGATTGTCCACCCCTGGTTGCTTTCCTGGGGTTTTTGTGCTTCTGCTCTTTCTTCCTGCCTCCTCTGCAGCAGGGGTGTTCTGCGTGTGTTCTTGGGCGTTTTTCAGCCTGTGTCCTGTGATGTGCTTCTTTGTCTCGGTCTATTGCAGTTGTTCGTACCCCTTAGTTTGGGTACTGTTCTGGCGGCGACCCTTCCGCCTTCTTTGGTTTCCTAGCTTGCCCTGCCGTTTTTTTTTTTTTGGGGGGGGTCTTGCGATGTCTCGCGTCGGACCCGTCGTTTCTGAACTCCTGGCGGGCTTGCATGCTTTGGGGAGTTTTTCTGTTCAGCAGATGTTCCATCTCCTTGTGTCGTGTTGTGTTTGGTCACCTTGCGCGTATGTCTTCAGTGACTCCTTTGTCCATGTCTCTTGTTCTTTGTTGTCCTGTGGGGCTCTGTCCCACATTTTGGTGCTTTTGGTTTCGTTGTCTGCACCTGGATCTTTTCCCTATCTGGACACTCATTCCTTGCCTATCTTCAGTGCCTGGCTGCACCCTGCTGTCCATGAGGTCCCTCGAGTATGTACGCCCTCCTCTACACATTTTGTGGTTGGTCGTGTGCATTACTTCCCGGCCGCTCCTTGGTTCGTATTTGGGGTTTTTGTTACCTATTTCCGTTTTTCCTCCTCCTATGCTACTATTATTTGTGTATCTAGGTCGGTGCTTCTTGACAATCCTGATGTTGGGTGCTCGGGTGGGCCTCTGTCCATGTTCAGTTCCCTGCTTTTGGACTTCTCCCGTGTTCCGTTTTGGTAACGAGTTCTTACGATTTTCTTTGTGCCTTACTGCAGGCTTCGGTGTTACGCTGTCTGTGGGGGGTTGTGGACTTTGTCTGCCGCTCCTGCCTTACTGGTTCCTTTTCTTGGAACCGGTAGCTGGGTTCTGGTCCTGGCTCCGGTTTTTCTTTGTTCCTTTTCTGGAATAGGTGTGTTTGCTTTCCTGCGGTTCACGTCCTGGGTAGTTCTCCTCTTGGATGCCTCAGGGACACATGCATCATTCTTCCCTGCTGCAGCTGGTTATGTTGCTCCTTTGGGTTGCGGGGTCGCTGTTTTTCTATTTGCATTTTGCGTTTTCGTTCGTGGTGCTAGTTTCTCGTCGTTTGTGTCGACACTGGTAGGTTCATTATTGGTCTCCCACCTGTGTGTTTCATCTCGGGGGTGGTGTGTGGTTTTCCTGGCGGTCCTTCCGGTTTTCCTATCACGTTTTCCTATCACTTCGGTCTTTGATGGGGTTGGCTTGTCTTCCCTTCGGGATTCTTCCGGGACCGTCATCTGGGACCGTGTCCTGTCACCTCATATTGGGTGGTGCTGGAGGAGCCGCTGCTGCTTGCGTTCGGTATTGCGGTTCCTTCTGTTCCGTTCCGCTTGCTGTCCTGGGCGTTGTTTTCCCTCCGGCCTGCTCTTGAGTTCTGGTGCCGTCCTGGTCATTGGCCTAGGTGGACTATTTTCTTCTCGTTTTGGTCTTTGTTATGTCTGTGGTCTTGGTTTTTTGGTTAGGGTGTGTGACGTCCGCCTCCCGGTTCCTTCCCTCTTTTCGTTATCTATGGTGAGATTGCTCCAGGGAGCCGATGGGGCTTCCCCCAGAAAACCAGCGTTCATTGTAATGAAACGCCATTTTCTGGGCGAGTCCCGAAGGCTCCCCGACATCCCTCCCTCCCTCCCTCCGGTTGGCGGCGTTTTTTGCATATTTTGACATCCAGCCTAAGAACTGCCAGTTGGATCACCGGGGTGGAGGGTTTGGGGCTCCCCCTTCCCCCTCCCGGGAAGGGGGGGTTGCGCAGACGGTGGCGTGGCGACGTGATGACGTCATGGTACAGTAGTTTGATAATTTTGTTTGGGGAGTTCTGTCCACTCGTTCGGCTTTCGGTAGCAATATTTTCACCAGAATAGGGGTTTGTTTTGGGGCGCCTACCTTTATGGGTGCCTATCCCGGTTGATGGCAGACATAGAATGCTCCCAACCACAAGGGGGTTTCTATAGGCCATTGCTCCTCGTGCCTCTCTGAGGGGGCCAGGTTGTGGCTCGTGGTCCCCGGTAGGCAAGAACTCCTAGCACTTTGATGCCAGAAAGTTATACTGTAACCCCGCGATTATCCGGGATTCAAACATCCGGAAAACGCCCTTATACGGCCAAAATCGTGATCGGATAAAGTTATCACAATATCCGGCCAAAATGGCCACAGGAACTGGATAAAAGCTGATTTGACCGGATGAAAATTCGGCCATACCGTATTAATCCCTTCTGTGGCTCTAGACGCATGGTGGAGGAGGGGGTGGGGTGGGTGGGTGGTGTTGGGAGGGTGGGAGGGGTGCGTCAGGAGGGACCACCTGGATACAGGAATTACCATTAATTTTAGAACAATTAATCATAGCCAAAAACAAATGAAATAAGTACTAGTAATTATGTAATAACAAATAAATAAGTTTCCTAAAAGCAATGTGCACAGGCTGAAGTTTCCTTCAAAAATATTGTGATTTTTTTTCCTCCTGGCGGCCTACATAACGTGCTATAGCTGCCCCACCCCAAGTGGACCCGTCCAACACTGGTCAACCCATGTGCGTCCGTCCCTCGTGTTATACACAGTGCTGCGCCATTAGTGAAATATTTTTTTAATAACTTTTTTATTTTCATAGTAACTTTGAACATTTTTGGCCAAGACTATGTCTGGTAGCAGCATCAATCGTTCTGGAGGTGTTATGAGGAAGAAGGTTGTCCTAGCAATTAAAGACAAGTTATGTGTTGTTCAACCAGTGAGGCGTCACAGGCAGCCAAGCGCCTTCAACAAGTGAGGCGCCACAGGCAAGCCAAGCGCCTTCAACAAGTGAGGCATTACAGGCAAGCCAAGCGCTTTCAACAAGTGAGGCACCACAGGCAATCCAAGCGCCTTCAACAAGTGAGGCGCAAACAAGCGCCTTTAACAAATGAGGCATCACAGGCAAGCCAAGCGCCTTCAACAAGTGAGGGCATGCAAGCGCTTCAACAAGTGAGGTGCAAGCAAGCGCCTTCAACAAGTGAGGCCTCACAGGCAACCCAAATGCCCTCAACCAGTGAGGCTTCAGCAGCTGGCAGTCAAAACTAACTTAGCTTTATGAACTGTACAGTAATTTTAAGTGTTAATTTTAGTGTTGTGTTAGTATAGGTTACGTAAATTGTTAAGAATTTTTAACTTCAAGATGTGTGGCATCAATCAAGAAGACGAACACCAACAAGGTAAGTTGAGGTTTCTAATTGAATATTTTATAATTATATGTGGCAAGGCAATTCAAATTATGTTGTTTGTAGTATAAAAATAGTTGGAAATGGTCACTTTTGGACTCGTAGGTGAAAAAGTACCATTATCCGAAAAATGTGATAATCCGGCTGGGGGTCCTTCCCATATAGTCCGGATGATCGAGTGGAGACAGTACATATCTATTTAGCCTGGATAGCTCCGGGGAGCCTCTGGGACTCGCCCAGAAAATGGTGTTACATTACATTCAATGCTAGTTTTTTGGCTTTTCAGATAATTCATGTTTAATAACCCTCAATCAACATTTAAAAATACCTGGCTAATGATGTATTGTACTTTCATGTCAAAATAATAACCCATTATCTTGAAAACACGAGAAAACCTAGACTATATTTTAATCCCAACATGGGCTCCTCTTCAGCAGTGAGCAAGAATGACGGCTGTAGCCCCTTTTTATGGCATCTAGTGTGGTGTCCTGGGAAAAAAGTGCAAAGCATTAGGTAATAACCTGAGTTTACATTATTTTGTGCTTTCAAAATAGTTGGTTATTATTTGTATTGATTAGTGCAGTATTGCACTTCATTCTCATCTCACTATACATAAATTCAAATGAAAGAATAACTTGCTTTTTCCTTTGTCAAATACTGTATGTTTTTATTATTTGCAGGCCTCTCTGTCATGTGGAGTATTTTGGCAGCGCTGATAATTCGTTTGAAAGTAATATGGATGCCAACTGTATGTGTATTGACTGGAGTGTTTGTGGCAGACACACGAGTTTATAGTTCATTCATAATGATGGGTGGAAAGTTGTCAAGTTATTCTCCAAAGTGGTTTCCTGGATTGTGTAAGACACTCATCTGCTTCAGTTACATTGCTTTCATTGGTCAAAGGGTGAGTTTGTGCTTGTGCTGGAAATTAAATATTATAATTTGTTATTTTAGTATCAACCAGTAATAATCCTGTATCCATTTATCTACACAGAATTTAAATGGAAATCTCCCAAGCTTAAAAATCCAGCATTGAATGTAATGAAACCCTCTTTCTGGGCGAGCCCAGTGGCTCCCTGAAATTATCTCACTTAGGTGGCTTCCAACTATTAGATCAAATCATCCATGGAGTTCTGTTTGGCCTACTGTAGACCTGGTTCTGGCTCTTGTCCCTACTGCTTTCCAGACCAGGTTTCATGGGACCACCAGGAAACCAGGTTCTCTGCATTCCACCGGGAAACTGGTTTCCCAGTGGGAAGGCAGAGAGTTGATGACACTCCGCCACTCCACCAGGATAGCATCTAAAAAGTCAATGATCCATTACAGACCACTGCTAGGTTCAAGGAGACCAAAGCCTCAGAACAGCAAAATAAACTCCAAACAATGTAAACAAACTATCGAGTCTCTTGAAACTGGTACGAGCTCGTTAGCGCTACCCCCCACTAGTTGAGGGGGAAGGTGCTGGAGCTCTGGGTGCCCACTGGTCTAAAACAGTTCTGGAGCAGCTGTGCAAGCAAAACCACTCAACCAATGACCTGGAAAGGAAAGGAAAGAAGAAATCAAGGAGCCCTTGTGGCTCTCAGAAGCTAACTTCTCATCAAGAAGAGAGAAACTCGCCAGGGAGGAAGAGAAATCACAGGCAGTCAGAATGAAGACAAGACCCTTGGCAAAGAGAGATGATCCAAAACGATACAGGCATGATGATGTCCAGGAACATTAACCAAATTTTGGGCCACCAAAATCCCTGCACATGAATATCAGCCCAGAACATGTTAGCAAAAATTGCTGCAGTAGCAACATATTTCTGAACATCAACGGCATGAGGGGTAGACCACAGGCTGGTTGGATTGGATGACATTGCAGATGACCTGGAAAACATGAGCCTTGTAATAGGAACCAAGGAAACCGGATCAACCCACAAGGCATCCACCGAGGTAAAATCTGTCGCATGAAGGTAGTGGTGGAGTGCTGCCACTGGACACTGACCTAACCAACTAAGCATCAACAACCAAGGGACCCTTCTGAAGCCTGCTGACTCATTCTTTGCCAGAAATCAAGAAGATGACAACAGACAAATGTAACATACACCGGGCCAACCACACCCTTGGATAGGAGCATGAAGCTCCCCCAGTCTTGCAACCAGAGGCAAGTGCCAACAGGGAAATAGCCTAAGAAAAGGAATCCCTAACCTAAAGGGGAACTGTAAACTGTCGAAAAGAAAGAAAGTTGAGGATAAAGTCCAAGGACCAAGCGGGTTTAGACGGCACATGAGCTATCACCCCATGTGACGGCACATGGGGTGATAGCTCACAAAATGAGGTCAATGGGAATAACTGGAAAAGTAGGACGCTGGATACTCAATTTCCTGTCGAACAGAACACAAAGAGTAACAGTCAATCAGATAAAATCGAGTCCAAGCGATGTTAAAAGCTCTGTACCTCAAGGTACAGTCCTTGCACCGCTACTGTTCCTTATTCTCATATCTGATATAGACAAAAATACACGCCACAGCTTCGTGTCGTCCTTTGCAGATGACACAAAAATCAGCATGAAAATTACCTCTGCTGAAGACATTGAAAAACTACAAGCAGATGTCAACAAAGTTTTTGATTGGGCAGAAGAAAATAACATGATGTTTAACAGTGATAAATTTCAGGTACTCAGGTACGGCAAAAATGAGGATCTGAAACATAATACAGGGTACAAAACACAATCGAATCTTCCCATAGTAGAAAAACAGCATGTCAAGGATTTGGGAATAATGATGTCCGACGATCTAACGTTTAGGGAGCATAACCAAGCAAATATCGCGTCAGCCAGAAAAATGATCGGATGGATTACGAGAACTTTCAAATCCAGGGATCCCATCACAATGGTTGTACTCTTCAAGTCACTTGTGCTGTCCCGTCTCGAGTACTGCTCAGTACTCACTTCCCCCTTCAGAGCAGGAGAGGTTGCTGAAATAGAGGGAATACAGAGAACATATACGGCACGCATAGACGAGATAAAACACCTAAATTATTGGGATCGTCTCAAAGCTCTCCAAATGTACTCTCTAGAAAGGAGACGAGAGAGATACCAAATAATATACACATGGAAAATACTGGAGGGTCAGGTCCCAAATCTACACAGTAAAATAACAACGTACTGGAGTGAACGATATGGAAGAAAATGCAAGATTGAACCAGTGAAGAGCAGAGGTGCCATAGGCACAATCAGAGAGCACTGTATAAACATCAGAGGTCCGCGGTTGTTCAACGTCCTCCCAGCGAGCATAAGAAATATTGCCGGAACAACCGTGGACATCTTCAAGAGAAAACTGGACAGTTTTCTAAGAGAAGTTCCGGATCAGCCGGGCTGTGGTGGGTACGTGGCCCTGCGGGCCGCTCCAAGCAACAGCCTGGTGGACCAAACTCTCACAAGTCGAGCCTGGCCTCGGGCCGGGCTTGGGGAGTAGAAGAACTCCCAGAACCCCATCAACCAGGTATCAACCAGGTATCAACTGGCTGGAGGTGAAACAAGTCACAAGAAAGATTCTGAATTGGCACGGAAGAAGTATCAGCAAGCAGCAGCAGCAGCAGCTCCACCAGCGCTAAAAGACAAAAGCTATTGGTATTCAGCATGAGATGCCAGTCAAGAAACAACTGAAAAAGGACTGAAAGGACCACACAAATGGAAACCAAAGCCTTAATGATAAAGGGAAAGGAAGTGGTGAAAGGAGAGCTAAGAAACCTCGTACTGCCTCTGGCAAGACAAGTGCAGGTGTGAAACCATCAGTTTAGCCACCTGTTTGCCATGAAGATAGCAATAAAGACACATTGACAAAAAAGATTAGACGTGAATTGCTGAGAAAAAGTTCGAACCAGCAAGGTACATCATTGGGATGATCTAAAAATTGCAGAGCCATATAAAAATGCCTGGATTTGAAGACTGAGTAAGCAGAGCCTGAAACCAAGGCTGAGCCAGCCACCAAAGAGGCAGAAGGACCACTTTTCCTTGGTAGGACTCCAACCAGGCCGAGATTTAGAGCAATAGTTGGACCAGGGAAAAGGGAAACAGAAATACTTGCTGCAACCAGTCCAGCCGAAAGGAATCCACCATGCGAGTCTCACAATTGGAGAATGTGCCGATTCCAAGCCGACTCACAGAGAACCACATTGGGGCACCAAACTATCTCATAAAGCCACAGGAAGGTGGCGGCATTGACGATCTACTCCGTGGAGATGGAAAGGAACTGAGACAGACCATTTCCAAGAGCATTGGAAACTCCCCACCTGAGCCCGCTTGGTTCCTTGACGGTGTTCTTTCTTTTCTTCTGTCCATGTCTGTGGGGAGTCCCTACAGCTTCCCGGAGCTATCTGGGCTGATGTAAATGTATTAGACCCCTGTGCAGGCCATGAGTTACAATAACATGGCTAAAGTATGTTAACCAGACCACACACTAGAAGGTGAAGGGACGACGACGTTTCGGTCCGTCCTGGACCATTCCCAAGTCGATTGTGATGAGGAAGTAGAGACAGGCAATAAATAGGCAAGAGAGAGCTGAGGAGAAAAGTAAGGTGTAGTAGAGGGGATAGTAGTAATAATATGAACTGCAGAGGGCCTATTGGCCCATAGGAGGTAGCTGCTATTGTAACCACCGAATGAGAAGGAGATAGTAATAGGAATAAGAAGAGGATAGCAAGGGAGCATAGGAGAAGACAATGAACAGAAAAAGGGAGAAGAGAGAAAGAAAAGGAAAGAGAAAGAAAGATAAATGGAAGGGGTAAGCTTATGTTAGGTCACGTTTGTTAGAAAGATTAGAGCATTTGAGTATATACTGTGAAAGGGAAGAGTCCACAGCAACAAAGCCAGGACTCAAGTTCATGTTGGGTACATTGTGTATCAGAGCCGATTCAACAAGACGGCGTCTGTGTAGAGTAGACGCAGGAAAGATTATTTTGGAGGAAGACCAATCAATGGGATGATTAGAATCCCTCACATGGCAGAAGAGAGCATTGTTAGTGTCTGCAGACTTAACACTTCTCTTGTGTTCTTTAAGTCTGTCATTCAGTGTATGGCCAGTTTCGCCAAAGTATTGGAGAGGACAAGACGAACAGGAAATAGAGTAGACACCAGCAGCATTAGAAGCAGGAGGAGCAGTGTGAACTAGATTGCTACGAAGAGTGTTAGTTTGTTGAAAGGCAAGTTTAATGTCAAGAGGACAAAAGGTATTGGTAAAAATTTTGAGTTCAGATATGAAGGGAAGGCATAGTACAGTGCTACTAGTGTTGGAAGCAGGTTTAGGATGAAAGAAATTTCGTTTAGCTTGAGAGTAGGCACAGTTGATGAAATGCAAAGGGTAACCAAGGCAAGAGAATGATTTGTAGATAAAGGCACTTTCAGAATCAAGAAACTGAAGGCCGCTGATGCGTAGAGCGAAGAGGAAGAGAGAGACGAGGACACTTTTCTTAACAGAAGGAGGATGGTAGGAAAAGAAGTGAATGTACATGCCACTATGCATGGGTTTACGGTAGACAGAGAAAGAGAACCCAGACACAGAGCTGTGAACATGAACGTCAAGAAAAGGAAGGAGGGAATTAGATTCCCACTCAACTTTGAAATGGATAGAAAGAGCCAGATTGTTAAGAGAGGCGAGGAAAGGCTGGAAAAGACTAAGGTCATGAGGCCATAAAGCAAAAATGTCATCAACATAGCGAAGCCAGAGAGAGGGACGAGTATTGTTGGGAAGAAAGCTTACTCTCTATTGATTGATTGATATTTAATTAATAGATTAATTTAAATTAATCGAAGGACCACCCTATTTTGACTGAAAAGGGAAACAGATAAAGTTAAATGATAAGGACTGAAATACCAGTGCCTATGGATAGGAAACTATTAAAAATTATTCTTTAAACTTCTATG